CTTGCTTTAGAACAAAGCTTGAGAGTCTATGGTAATGAAAACTGTAATGACAGCTTGTTCTCAATTAGCAGCTCTTTCCTTGTGTGCTACTTCTCAGACAAATTTTCAGGGGAAAAAATGGAAGAGAGTGGGATGACTGGCCAGCCGAATGCATGATGGTAACTGCTAATAAAAATAAAGAAGTAGTCACTCAAGCTTCCTCATCTCTTTAGGAGGTCAGCATAACTGCATCTTTAGCATAATCCTGCCACCCGTTAGTTCTTGGAGCATCCTCTAGTTCTAGGAAGAGAAGTATTTATTGCAACATATTTCCCAGGAAAAAAGGGATTTTGAATTTGTCCTTTTTCATGTGATCTACTCCCCTTGGAACAAATACATTCCCAGCAAAACCTACAAGAGAATGCTTCAAACACAGCAGAAAGCGCAGACTGAGCAACTTTTTCTAATTAAAAAACCCCTCAAAGGTCACTCTAACTGATGAGATTTACACCATCACATTCAATTCATTAAACTAAAACCGTAACAGAAGTTCAGAAGGGTCTATTAGGTGACTGCCTGTCTGTTGTCTCCTGCTGTATTTGAGTCCCTTGCAAGGAAGAGAAAAAGGGCACAGCATTTGTGTTTTATAAGGTAGCACGTCAGAGCTGTGAGCTGGGGTGATCCGTTGTCCTAGACTTGCGCAGGATTTATTTCCCTATACTGAGAAAGCCGAGTGAGAATACTCACAGAGAATATAAACTCCGGGGGTTTTTCCTGTTGCTTTTTTGTTGTGTTGTTTTGTTTTAGCTGTGCTCCTGTAGTCCCAAGGCCACCTCCAAGGCTTCCCACTCCCCGAGTTGAATGGCTGCAGGCAGCTCATGATCATGACTTGTGTTGCTTTCTTCAGCATTTTAAAAAGTCTTTTTCAATTTCTTCAGCAATAAGAGTGTAGTCATCTGCACTGCGACTCTTAACCCTTTTAAAGAGAATTTCTGTAGGAATCGTCTGTCAAGGGCCTGAGCATGGGCTGTACGTGCTCTTGCTGTAAAACAAGACGACCACCTAACTTGATGAGTACCTGGAGAAAACTGTAGTTGCTAGTATGTGCTGGCAGGGCCCCTGGCCAGGGCGCTGGCATGGATTCTCACCCTGGCTTTATTGCGAGAATATTGAGAAATAGAATAGAATATGTCAGGAAGGGACCTCCAACAATCACCTAGTCCAATACTAGGGAAGTCGCTTTAATTCTCTCCCTTCCTTTCGCCTTCGATACTGTCTCTTTTCTGGCAGTTCAGCCTGTAAAATCTTTCAGATTCAGCCTGACACAGACTTACTGGAGAGGCTAATGAAGCTGTCCCTGACCTCCAGTGCTGCCCAGAGTAGGACATGTTTTAAGGTGATGGGATGCTGTTTTGTCTACTCACCTGTACAGCCCTCCATCCCATTCACAGCACACCCTGCCAGACACCTCTTTTAATTTAATCTTTGAATCCTTGTAAATACTGCAGGAATTTAAATAATTCATGCTGGTTTATCCTGAACTGCAGAACATCATTTCTGCGTGACTGGAGTAGGGGTTTAAGTTATGTGTGTGGAACAAGACCCTACTGCAAGCAGGCTGCATTGCTACCGGTCTCACTTGCTTAGCAGTGGGAACGCTGCCAAAGCATGGACATCTTATAAAACTAACCATAGCCATCAACCATGGCTGCTTTGGCAGTATCGATCATGGAATTCAATATCGATGTGGTCTTTTTGCCTTTTGTATTAAATGTAAGTACTGGGCTGTAGCTTAGGCCTGTGGAAACTTTGGATTGACTTTCTCCAAGGTCTGCCTGTTTTCCCTGGAAGACTCTGCTTTGAGGTGGTTGATTCATGAGTAGAGAGAGATTTTTACCACTTTAGAAGCATGATTTTAATGTTTGCCGTATCCTGGAGATCAGTGTCGTGGCAAGGGTGGCTGAACTTCATGTGGAACTCTTCAGCTGTCATCATTTATTAGCTGAAATATTAAAGCAAATCATCATGGGCTTCATGCTGATTTAATATGCTTGGACAAAGATTGTAACAGAACTGCTGTATATGTAGTTCCATAGGGAAAAGCAGTTTTTTGGAGAGGAGCAAGGCCATCATTGTGCTTTAATCTCTACGTGTTTTTCAAATGGAGTCCTTTTTCCTCATTCTGATGTTTGGAAAGCGTGGGTGAGCTGACCTGATTTTTTTTTTTTTTTTTTAAATTTTTGGATTTTTGCCATTAGTGGGAGAGAAGCAGGTGGCAGGAGATACAGTTGCAGCTCCTTGCTCACTTTCCTACCAGCTTTGGCACAAACCAGAGAAGGAGCTGCTGTAACAAGTTAGGGCAACAATACATTGCTGATTGTTCGTTAGATGCTTGAAATGAGCATGTGTTTAGCAAGGTAGCAATTAAGGACTGACTGACAATAACATGCTTGTTTGTCTTTTAAGTAAGAACTTGTGTCTTGATGTTTAATGAAGGGTTTACAATGGTATTTAGGTTTTGTGCATAAAGTTCAGGTGAGGTGTGTCACGTATTCTGATGAATATGGATAAATTGAATAAACTGAGAGGAGGATTTTTGAGATAAATTAAAAACATCTTGGATGCCCCATGTCTGTGCTTTGGCACAGACAGGGTAGGCAGGGTAGTTTTAACTTGCGCTGAGTTCCTTGCTGTCATGGTTTAACCCCAGTCGGCAACTAAGCCCCACACAGCCGCTCGCTCACTCCCCCCCGGTGGGATGGGGGAGAGAATCAGAAGAGTAAAAGTGAGAACTCGTGGGTTGAGATAAAGACAGGTTAATAGGTAAAGCAAAAGCCGCGCACGCAAGCAAAGCAAAACAAGGAATTCATTCACTCCTTCCCATCGGCAGGCAGGTGTTCAGCCATCCCCAGGAAAGCAGGGCTCCATCATGTGTAACGGTTACTTGGGAAGACAAACGCCATCACTCCGAACGTCCCCCCGCTTCCTTCTTCTTCCCCCAGCTTTATATGCTGAGCATGACGTCACATGGTGTGGAATGTCCCTTTGGTCAGCTGGGGTCAGCTGTCCCAGCTGTGTCCCCTCCCAGCTTCTTGTGCCCCCCCAGCCTGCTCGCTGGTGGGGTGGTGTGAGAAGCAGAAAAGGCCTTGACTCTGTGTATGCACTGCTCAGCAGTAACGAAAACATCCCTGTATTATCAACACTGTATTCAGCACAGATCCAAAACATAGCCTCATACTAGCTACTGTGAAGAAAGTTTACTCTATCCCAGCCAGAACCAGCACACTTTTTATTGTGGCCAGACTGTCACTAGCAAGTGATTGCTTAGTGTTTCCATTGGCACAGTACACAGCAGGCTCTGCGCTGGGGATGGACATTCAGACTCTTACTGTTTTGCTAGAGAGGGAGTAATGTTGCTCAGTGTTATTTCACACTACTGGAAAATGTAAATATTGGGGAATAAATCCCATTCTTAAAGGTGAATTAATGTATTTCACTTCCCAATCTCATGACATTGGGTGGCTTTGGGGTGAAAATGCTTGTTTGAAAATACAAAGAGTAAAAAAAGGTGCATTCCAGACTTGATCACTTAGTGTATTTCTGAGTACCTGGAAGACTTTTATGGCGTGTTTAATGTTGCATCAAATCTTCTATACCTACTGCTCATGTTTACCTGCCTGTTTGTGTTTATAATAAAGTCTCAAACATCTGTTTTATTTTGGCAACTATGTTACTATTCCAACACACAATACCACAGATAAGAGTTGATCCTTGTGTCAGGAGCCTCAATATTTTTCACTTTTTGTGTTTTGTCTACTTCTAAAAAATGAGAAATAGAGGAAATCTAACAGTATTGAGTTTCTCGACTGCTGTGAGGAATATGAAATTGTTTTCTACTCTTACACAAAAAAACCTTCTGTGTTGACTTTAATGGAATTAGTCACTGTGCAGAGCTTAAGAAGACAGGGCACTAGTGATTTGCATGAATGCCATCCAATTCACTGATTCATCTGATTAATTTGATTCATTCTCCTTCAGAGAAAGAAAATGCAGAAAAAAATACCTAAATGGTCATGCCTTCTTTCAAACAGTGATTATGCAGTAAGACTTCCTCAGCCTCTTCATTTGAAACTAGGCGTAAGCAGGTTTAGCTTCACCTCTTCAAGAACTTAATGGACACCCATTCTTCTGGACTCTAAAATGTGTATCAATGTTGAAAAATAAATTTTTTAACTGAAATTTAAAAGTGAAAATGACAAGGATAAGTCATAAGAGTTTATATTGCCTCCTTCCCCTCTGCTCCCCGCCCGAAACATACTTAATAGAATAAAGAAACTTGGAAAAACTACTGAGGTAAAACATGATAAAAATTGTCTACTTTGTGCTAAGGTTTTTTGCATGTACATCTTCTAGAACATTTTATTTACTTTCCTGGTCCTCATATGATGGTAATTTTTTTCCATGTATGACGTTTTTGATTCTGTATGTATATATGTATATATGCCTTTTTTTACTCACAGTTCCAGTTCTTGCTTGTCAAAATTTGAAGCAGCTCTGTAGCATCTCCTGTTTTTATTGTGTATAGAATTGTGAGCATCTCGAATCTGATTGCTGTTCTCTGAACTAACTCTATCAAAACTTTCTACAGTTCTGCGGTCATAGAGTTCTTGAGTTTCACTGTTTATCCTCTGTGGTTTCTTCTTTAGCTTATGTAAGAATGTACAATTCCACCGGGTTTATTTACCTCTCCATTACCTTTTTTTTTTAAAGTGAATGCACCAATCTGTCCAGTGTTCTGTGGGGAGGGATATTCAGTAGCCAAATTTAGAAGTGGGATATGCTTTGCTCAGCTGTTTTGTTCTCTATTACGCCATTGCACTACAGAGAAATGGCTGTCTTTAGTATTGCATCCTATGTGTATAGGTTCTTGTCTCAGTCATGAAGCTGAGAGAGGAACGTATTTGGACTAACTGAATCAAAGATTAAACTTACGGATATTTTAGCTTTTTTATTTATTGCAGGTAATTAAAGTGCATAGTGAAGACGATACTAGCAGAGCTCTGGAAGTACCAAGTGATATAACAGCCAGGGATGTATGTCAGCTGTTGATATTGAAGAACCACTATATTGATGACCACAGCTGGACTCTGTTTGAACAACTTACCCACACAGGTTTAGGTAAGACTAATACTATACAATGGTATGGCAGTAAATAAGGTGTTTGGTTTTCATTTTCACATAGAAGTACAATTGTAATAGAAAGGCTTGGAAGGAAAATGATGGGAGGGCTTGTGTGAATTTGTTCTTTTGGGGGTTTGTTGCTTCTGTTTCTCTTTTTTTTGAAAGCATAGCTATAAAGTACATTTTGTCATAGTACATTTGCCTCACACTGCTTGATCTGCATCTGTAAGAGTGATTTGGAAGACACTGACCATTAAGGTTCTCACTGCAAATTCTTCCTCGCTCTTCCTTGCTTTTCTTTGGCACTTCTTCCTCTGGTATTTCCTGCTTATCTCTAGCAAGACTTGGGTTATTTTCATTGCAAATAAAATCTTCATTGTTCCCAACACACCTGAGTGAAACCTCTGACATCAAGGACAGAAAGTGGTTACACAGTGCTATTCTATCTGGACAATAGGACTCACTCTTCAGAAACAACATCGGAGTAGTCTGTCAGTATTTTCCTTCAATACAATCAGTTTGGCTAGATTTATTGTGAACTCTGGGACAGGACTACTTAAAAAGCAAAACAAAACCATTCTTCTAAACTTCCAATTATGGACCAATGAACTGTGTTGAAGTGACTTTATGCTTAGTATTTTAAGTTGCTGGAAACGAAATGCTCTGAATGCCTTCCACATCACCAGTGTTTCTCTAGTGTAGTAAAAAACCTCTTTTTCTATTATACAGTTTAAAAGGTGTAATCTGTGGTTTCAGATATATAACAACTATAACTTCTGGTCTCCGTTCCTTTTTGTACTGTATAGACGTAACTTTGCGGTATAAAAACACATTAAGACAAATTAAATATAGGGGGAAAGGGGATGTTTGCAGAGATGTAAAAAAATGCAGAACACAGGAAAGACTTCACTCAGCAAACGTGAGTTTAGAAGTCCACTGCTAGGATGTAGTATCGAACTGATACTCTAGTCAGACAATCTTACTTCCTTTTACAGCACTACGTTTCAGTACTGTATTGTGTTTGGTTTTGATAAAGAATTATATCGGAAAAAATCTACTAGAAGACAAATGCTATAAAAAATATGGTTTTAATTTCATGTCACTCAAAGTTTCCATATTATTCTTGAACTTTGGCACTGTCCTAGAGTTAGCAAAGGTAGTACTTCTTCTGCAACCTCAAGGGCAGTTCCAGCTGCTAGTGCAAAGTGTGGCTTGAGAAAGAGGACATTTTGGGGGCCTTCCTGCATTCTAAAATACGTAGAAAACTCCTTGGAGTCCTTAATTCGCAGAAAAGACTGCACTGGTACCTGGTAACTCCAGTACTGTCAATTTAAAAAAAAAAAAACAAAACCACCACACACCACCAACAAAAAGCCAAACACCCCCCCACACACACACCATGGATATTTATATATGGCTAAAAGCTATTGTTAAACTCCCTTTCTGAGTATGAATCTAGGGAATCTGGACTCGTGTAAAATAAACTTGACTGTGCATCTCCAACAGTATTATGTTTAACAGCCGTATTTTAAAGATGAACTACACAAGCTAAAACTGTTTTCTGCCCTTTTCTGCTCCTTTATCCTATGAAGGCAGCCACAGACGTTTTTCAAATTTTTTTGTTTGCTTTGTAACATTTCAAAGATATTTATAACCTTTTGCACTGAATGTATCAGTTGTAAGATGCTTCCAGCTCAGAGCAAGGTCAGAGTTAAATCTGGGTCGAGGCTGTAAATGACTGACTGTTACAGAAGAGGAGGTATAAAAATGTCTTTAGACAACACTACTATACAAATAGTAGAAATGTTTTCTGTATTTTATAGTGTGGCTGGTATTTAAGTAGTGTAGTAACTATTGATGAAGACACTTTTGACAAACCATGCCAGAACAATAGTGGCATTGTTTCTCCAGGTTTATTTATTTGCACGATACACTTTTTGTCAAATAGTGTGTTTGCTTCAATCTGAAGGATTTCTTGGAAGATTTCAATATCAAATAATTAGTGAAGTTGCTTTTCCTAAGATTCTGAAATTCTCAAAATTGCTGGCGTGCAGGTCTGAAGACCCTGAAATTCTAATTGCTGGCGTGCAGGTCTGAAGACCTGCATTCACCATACAGTCTTCTGATTGCTCCAGCAGCTTTGGGCAGAATTTTAGAAAAAGGTGACTTGTTCATTTTTGAAATAAAATTATTTCCTAGGTGATGTGGATGGCAATTCAACATGACTAGCCAAGGAAAGGAACAACTTCAGATACCTTCTTTTTTTTTTTTTTTTCCTTTATCCTATGAAGGCAGCCACAGACGTTTTTCAAATTTTTTTGTTTGCTTTGTAACATTTCAAAGATATTTATAACCTTTTGCACTGAATGTATCAGTTGTAAGATGCTTCCAGCTCAGAGCAAGGTCAGAGTTAAATCTGGGTCGAGGCTGTAAATGACTGACTGTTGGAGAAGAGGAGGTATAAAAATGTCTTTAGACAACACTACTATACAAATAGTAGAAATGTTTTCTGTATTTTATAGTGTGGCTGGTATTTAAGTAGTGTAGTAACTATTGATGAAGACACTTTTGACAAACCATGCCAGAACAATAGTGGCATTGTTTCTCCAGGTTTATTTATTTGCACGATACACTTTTTGTCAAATAGTGTGTTTGCTTCAATCTGAAGGATTTCTTGGAAGATTTCAATATCAAATAATTAGTGAAGTTGCTTTTCCTAAGATTCTGAAATTCTCAAAATTGCTGGCGTGCAGGTCTGAAGACCTGCATTCACCATACAGTCTTCTGATTGCTCCAGCTGCTTTGGGCAGAATTTTAGAAAAAGGTGACTTGTTCATTTTTGAAATAAAATTATTTCCTAGGTGATGTGGATGGCAATTCAACATGACTAGCCAAGGAAAGGAACAACTTCAGATACCTTCTTTTTTTTTTTTTTTTAATAATACTGAATAATAATGGATTTATTTTTATGATACTGTTAGATCTGGTTTTGTTTGAAAGGTTTAACATACTGATCTTGACTTGCATTAAGTATTTTCTTAAGCACTGGATGAGTAGCATGAACAAATATTTTTCAAATTATGATTTAGTTTTGGACTATTTGCTATTGATTATTCTGTTGTATGTTTTCCCCACGGAAATTTGGACAGTTATTTTCTGCTCCCAAGTTAAATGAATGGATATAGAAAGGAGAAGTGCTGTGAGTGAGTGTGTGTGTCTGTGTAAATTCCAGTATGATGGGGATTAATAATTCATTCATCAATTAGTGAACATTTTCTTTAATATCTAACAGCTGTCTGAATACTCCTGAATTAGATATGATTGCATGAATCTTAGTGAGCTGAGCACAGCGTTCTGCTTTTAATCAAGACAGACATTAATTACATCACCGGAGTGTGCCTTCATTGCTGTGTGGAGCAATCTGCATGTGAAGGTTAAAAAAGAAAAAAAAAAAAAATCCCACCCAAAAGAAAACATAAAATCACGGTCTGTATATTCCTGTTTTCACAAACCTATATGCCCTTTAGCGTGGAACTACGGATTGTTGAACATTAAGCATGGTCATGTCCTCACTGCATTGCATGGCAAGTGCTGACCAAGCGGTGTTGACCTGGGGAGAGCGGGCAGGTGAGATGGTTTGTCCACCCACGCCACTTCCCCGGGGCACTGGCCGGTGCACCGCATCTGCCTGCCGTGGGGCACCCACGCTGCGCACAGCCTGCTGCCGTTGCCCCACCACCCAGGATGCTCAGCCTTCTTACCTACCTCCAAAGTTTTGCAGTAGCCTGGGCTCTATTTCAAATATCTGAAGTATGATGATTATTACAGCACTATAAATCGCAATATATTTCAGAACTGTGTGCTTCTGGTATGTGTCCCTTCTGTCCCAAGCTATTAAATTCAAAGAAATTCTTGGATGTTTTTCACCTTGTCTAAGATTATTGAAGGCAGCTGAGGTATGCCTGGATTTGGATGATGCCATGTCATCCCTACCACCAGGTACCTTGGTGTTGGAGTCCCATACTTCCACTGCAATTCCCCTGTACAGGGCAGGCTGTGAAAACAGATCAGTTTTCCATAGCTGTTCTCCTTTTCAAGGAAAATACTGTCTTCATCCTGAAATTTTTCCTTTTCTAGTGAGAATTTTTTGTGTTGACTGCAAATAGTTTTCCATTTGCTTCTGCAGCTCAATAGACATGTTCTAGGGTTCCTCTTTGAGTAGGCGATAGTGCCTTGGCCGGGCACATCATTGTTGTGTTTCAGTCTCCTGTTTTGATTTCACTATCTGCATTCTTTTAGGTAGCCTGTGGGAAGGCTCACAAAGCACTATCTGTGCAATAGTACTGGGCAATGGCTTTTCTGTTTTTTATTTTGTTTAAATTTTTTCCCCTGCTGGGTGGCTAGAGAGGAGGCTATTTGAAATGTGTTCTGTCATGCACTTCAATATTAAATCTTCTTTCATGTGCTTTAGTTACTTTCCATAGTTAAGGAGACTTTGTTTTGGACTGTAGCAGGGGCTCCTCATGTTAGAGATAGTAATAAAGAGATGGTAGAAAGGAAAGTAGAAACTCTGCAGTCTAGCTGGAAGAGAAAAAATGATCTAACTAAACCAAAGTGCAGCTTTTTCATGGCAACATTTAGGGATTTGATTACAGGGCTGTGTTTTGGAGGGCACTAACTCCATGTTTCAGTTCCTTCAGGAAAGTAAGTTGAATCAATTGTAAAATATTCTGTGACGTGACACCTTAAAAATAAAGAAATACCAGCATCCTTACCCATCCATTGGGGTGATGCAGAATGTCTTATTTTTGTACCAAGAAGTAAGACTTGAGGAAATGGTATTTTCTTAAATGTCACAATCCAAGCATTTAAGAGATTTAAATGTCATCCCAGAGGAGCACTTTCTCTCTGTAAAACTGAAAGGAAAAAAAATACGCTGGTTTTGAGTAAGAGCTTCAGTTCTTTAGTGTCTCTTTACTCCTGCATCTGAAGAATGTGTTTTGGAGTAGAGCAGCCTGTACAAGATTTTAAAATGCTCACTTTTCTTTCAGTATTTTTGGGGTATTTTTTGTTTTCTGAATTGCTTTATGTTTTTATTTGCTTCATTTGATCTGGTTACAAAATATGAGTTTCATGTAACATCCTTGATCTCTGTCTTTATGGGCTCAAGAATGAGTTAAATTCAATGGAAGTTTAACTTTTCCCTACTTGATCTGTAGATCATGAGAGTGCTTTGTCTTATGCTAGTCGTGAGCTTGGTATTTTCCTACTGAGGTGAAATTTAGCTGTATGAGTGTATTGTCTCTAAATTTGCTAGCTGGAAACTTCCTGAAGAAGCTTATAGATTTGCAGGCTACAATAAGGCTGTTACCCACCAGACTGGACAGTGTGGAAGCATGAAGCAGTGACTGGTGAAAGAGGTGGCAACAGAAGATCAAGAAAAAGATGCTGTAGTTCTAAAAAGGCTTTAAAGATTTCAAATTTGAGGTTTGATTTTTAGAAGGTTGTGCATGCTACACTTTATGAAAGTTAGGCTCTTTGTTTAGCCAGGACCACTTGCAAAAATTTGCCATTTATATTAATTTAATGTTATGCCTAATTAAGTTTTTTAAAAAATCTACACTATCCTTTTATCTGTTACGATTTTTAAAAAAGTTTCTAACAACAGGCAGTTATATGAGAGCATCAATGTTCATTTATAGTATATCATAAGATCCCTTATGATAATGCAATGAAGTGTAGAAAATGTGATCAGAAAATTGTGAGTTACATGGTTTTTATAATTTATTTTTAACTGCCTTTTCCCTTTGAAACCATGACCAGAATTGGATATTAAAACCCCATAATTGGCAGGGAGATATAAGGTTAGATCTCAAACCTATTCTTAACCTGTAACTCACTGTTGGAATGTAATTTAAATTTGGAGGTGCCAATGATCATTTAAATGAAATCTACAACTTTGTTCAACTCCGTCTCGTTCTCATTAGTTTGAGTCCACAACAAAGTACAAATGGCCACAAAAACTGTATACTCATTTGGAAGCATGTTCATCCTTCTTTTGTAACATGATTTCATAAGCTGCTGAAATTTATTTAAAAAAAAAAAAGGCAGTATAAATAATACTGTACAGAAATTGTCCATAGCCTTTCAGGATTTATGCTTAACTTCCTGCACTGTAAGTAGTCCCATTGCATTACTCAGAGCATGCAACACGTAAACATGCACATCTACAGGAAAGTTCTTAAATTCTGTATCTTTCCTATTAAGTGCATTTCATATTGCTGTAAAATCGAAAAATTCACTCAAGAATCTGAGCAGCAGAAGCAGTCTAAAGCAGTGAGAATACTGATTCTGAACGCCAGTGCTGTGGTACAAATAACTGAATTCTTTGCTTTTTCTTCCCCTCGCCCCACTGCAAAGCCAAACTACACATTAGGATTCACTTTGTAGGTTATTTTTCTGTTTTGTTTTCTTTTTTAGTATTTTTCATGGCTTACTTTTACCATTCTTTTCGCATATGCTAGTTCTACGGCTGCTAAAATTCTCAGTATCCCTGGTTTGTGCAAAAACACTAGAACACTGAAATGCCCTAAGTTCATTGGCAGTTTTAGAAATGCTTCAGGACATAGTAGGGACCTGGGGAGAAGAAGAAAAATTAATGCTTTTCTATATTGCAGATAGCTTTCACTTTACAAATGATGCATTAGAGAAAGGAGTGTTAGAAAGACATTCCTGACGCCCCAGACAGGCTGAGTGAATGGCTGAAATGGTCAGCTGCCTGCTGCCCTATGTGTCAGACAGCAGGAACTGCCTGGCTTCTGCAGGGAGAACATGGATTTGGCCATGAAATGGAATAAAGCCCTCAGCTGCCCCTGTAAAAGAAAACAGCAACAACAAAACACGAACAAAAAACCCCACGTGTGACCTACCTCAGAAGTTGGGCCCTACTGAGGTGGAACAGTAACTTGGTGTAACGTGGACCTGATTAATGGACTCTGTTCAGATTGCTTGTTTCATGTTTTGTATTTGTTTAATTTAATAATATTTTTATTACCTGACTTTTGTGTTTTCATGTTCTACTCCTAGGCTCTTAGGTGCAGATTATGTGGGGTTTTTTTAATATGTTTGGTTTTTTGACAGGAAGAGCTATAGAGGACCATGAATTAGTGATGGAAATCCAGTCAAATTGGGTAATGGAAGAGGAAAACAAACTATATTTTAGAAAAAATTATGCCAAGTATGAGTTTTTTAAAAATCCACTGGTAAGTCCTAACATTATATCTATGAAGTGGTGCAATTGCTGCAAAAGTCTTTTCTGTTACACAGAGATAGGCAGAGTGTAAAGCTGTTAGTGTAACATGAGTCAAAAGGAGTAACTGGGAGGGAATATAGGGATATAGGAATATATTGTAGTGCGTGTAACTGTTGGCCGGTCCCTTTGTTGCAATTGTAAAACATCCATGTTCATACTTTTCTTTTTCGGGTGAAGGGGGCAGACATGGGTTTAACTTTCTTGAAGTTTGCACACAGACCTATGACAAAATAAAATTTTTGAAATTGAGTGAAGTTTCCATCAAGTGACAACAAAATATAAAATGAAGCAGTGTGAGGAGGGGTATCAGTAGCAAAGATGATTGTCTTGTTGAAGTGAAAATCGAATGTTATGGCCCAGCGCTGCCCAATGGCAGCTTCTCACAGCTGCAGCTAAATGACAACTGACACAAAGGGCCATGAGCAGCCATAACCTATTAGGAGTAAGTGAAAGTGAAGCCAAAGTTAGTGTATGTAAGAAATGGAAAGAGAGCAGAGACAACTCGTAACTGAAGGATGTTGCCAAAGGTTAACGCTGCTGATTCAGACCTTGGCTCAGCAGGAGAAACTCACCATCTGGTTGCTCAAATGCATGGTGTATTTGGATCACTCTTAATGCTGTCTCTTATAAAGCCAGCTTGTTTCAGATGTCAAAGGGAGAAATAGCAGAAATGTATGAGGACTTGAAAGGTGAAAAGTGGAAGGGAACTCAAATTATCTACCTGTGAAAAGGATGAAAAGGTAAATATTAAGATACCAAGAGGCGTAAGAGATCTGAGGGTTTTTTTCTTGCTCCACCTGTGTTTCTCTGGGCAAATCATATACTCCCCTGACATGGAGGTATCACTGCACTAGTGAAAAAATCTAAGCTTGAGATGGTCTACAGTTAGCAGAGAAGCTTTCAAAGAATAGGTATGATTGGGTATTGGTTAACCAGTGAGTGGAACCAGCTGTGGAGTGTGGCAGACCTGCAGCTATGACTAGCATCAGCAGCTGTGGCTAATCAGAGTCCTTACTATTCCTGTTGAGTCATTCTTCTGGGTACTCTGGTCCCAGGTGTAGCAAGAATGCTTTATCAGAAATGAGCTGATACGAATTAACCCTACCAGTAGTTCAGTTTTATTAAAAATGAAAGTCAGTGGACATTGGATGGTCAAGGGAATATTAGCTTCAAACTTGTCCAAGCCTTGAGAAAACTTTATTAGTAATGGTCGGACTCTTGGCTGGTTCATATCTGCATGACTATATAGAACTCCCCAGCTGCAGGTCTGTCCCATAAATTACCCCTTGAGCTTTCCTTGATAATGAAATTGGAACTTTAAATGTGGACTTTTTAACCACACCATATGGATGTAGTCAGATTTTGATGTTAATTCATATCATACAAAATGGACAATTAAAAAAAACCTGAGTGGACTTGTTTTCTATTAATGGAAGTTATTCCAAAATATTTTACTGGGTTTCTAGTGTAATGAAAACAATAGAAAACAATATATTTTTCAGCATGTGGGTGTATATCCTCCCTACTTTGTAGCATATTGAAGCCCCAGGCAAGTCTTATGTGTCAACAGCAATAGAAATTACTGTTAGAAAACCAACACTAAGGGCCAAGTACTGCAATATGACTTGCACTGGTGTATGAAACCCTCTTGCTTCCAGAGACCATTGATGTTTTCTCAAAATTCTAAGTTTTTCAGCAAATAATATATAGGATGTCACAAATTTAGGAATGATATTAAGGTAAGCTTAAATTATTGGATCGGAGAATCTGCAGTGTCTTGTACTGCATGGAGAACTGTAATTTTACGTCCAAGAGAGATAGGAAGTTTTATATTTATTTTTACGAACTTTAATACAAATTATTATTGTTACAGAGTTTTTTTCCAGATCATATGATATCTTTTCCAAGTGAGACCAATGCAGCTGTAAACCACTCTGGGATATTACAGGTATGTAATCTTTGAATGAAGACGAGCCAGTATAGCTCTGAATTTCCCGTTGTCTGTGTTGTGTGAGCTAGCTCTTTGTCACTGTTGGATTTGTTGCTAGGTTTTGAATAACTCAAAACATGGTTAATAACTTTTCTTCCTTACGAGATATGAAGTGATGTGTCCCTTCCAGACAGTTATTATATGACCACACTTGGAAACTTGCATATTCTTTTGGAATCAAGGAGTACCAAACCAGACAAAATGCAGTAAAAATGGTTAATACCTTTATTGGGTATTTCAGGTGAAAGACCCTGTTTCCTTAAAAAGGTGATGTGCTGCAGTACTCAGCACATACTTAACAGCAGGCCTTGGTAGAACACTGAGGAACTGGTAATGTGATACAAATGGATATAAAAAAGAGTTAAATGGTTAAACTTAATGAATAGAAAATTTAGACTGACTAGTGTGATTTGTTAGCTTGAAGGCTACTGTAGCCTCGGGAAAAAAAAAAAAGACAGGTCACTCAGTGTTAGTCATCTTTTAAGCGGACACAAGATTTTAATTTACAGTGGGAATAATTTCACAGAATGACCATATCAGGGATCATCATCTTAATTCTCAAAGAGGGGAAAAATGAGTAATAAAGGTGGAAACATACACATCACTCTTGTTTGCTTGTCACTAGAAAAATTAATTAATAGAAGAACTTTCACTGGTCTTAAGACAACAACCCTATGTGTGAGTTTTGACGATAAAGAATGGTTGGAAAGGCAACATAATAACACAAGATATTTAAGGTAGAACTAAAAGAAATACAGAAATTACAAAATATTTTTTGCACCTATATAATAAATTCTACCTTGGCATCCACCAGTAAATGAAAAACGTTAAGGAACTAATTCTCAAAGCATTCTTCTGTATTAAATAGTTAAATCCTTATAGAAGTGGATGTTAGTCAGGAGGCTAAGATTATCCCAAATATAGTAGAAAATGTTTCAAATTAAATTGAATTGACACATGCTAGATTCTGTAAATCATTTTTACAAACCTAAGTAAAAACTTTGTAATTTCAAAAGATGCTGCATAGCTAATGAAAATTGGTTCACTTTTGCTACCTAAATAGCAAATAGATTTTGCAGTCTAAGTTAAACATTTAATGTTGAAAATATTGTCCCCTGTGTTAATAGAACTTAATAATTTTTTCTCCCAAATATAATTTGGTAGTTTGAAAAAAATAATAAAGACTTTTATAATGGAACTGTTTGCCATATACTCTTGCACAGAACTTCTTTAAGCCCGTATTGTGATATGTAGAATGTGTGCAGAGCTTGTGGGTAAGATTAAGACCCATTCTAAATATATATAGTTATATGCCATTTTGATAGCTTGAAAGATTTGTTACGAACTCTCCTCTGTTGCTATTTTATGTTGTCTTGTCTGTTTAATTGTATTTTGTCAAATAAAACTTACTAGGCACAAAGTAGAGAATACCTTTGTGGATTGTGCAGCCGTTACGCACATTTCAGCAGAAGCTGTTGGGTAAATTGTTTACAGTGTGTCACTATTTCTTTGGAAACTTTCATTAAGACAAGTTAATGGGCTTGCGTTATTATTTGTGATGTGCTTGGTCAAGTATCAAGAGAAACATTAGTTTTAACAACTCAATGCTTACAAGTGATTAAAAAAACACTTCTGATACTTCTGTAGCTTTTTGTGGATTGAGCTGTAAGCAAGTAAAATGTTTTTCAAGTATGTTTTTCTTGACTTTCATTGAAAGAGTGAGTATTTTGTCTGATGACTTTAAATCAGAGCATCTAAATAGCCTCAAAACCAAAAAAAGTTTACCTGTCTCCTATCCATTTAGCATGTGCTAAGTAAAATTACTAGGTCTCACATATACCGAATGTCTATGTATACCAAAGAGAGAGGTTTAATCTCTGCCATGAAGATCCTTAGTCTTTAAAAAAAAAAAAAAGTGTCACTATACTGATTAGAGTATGGCTGCTCTGAGACACAACACTGTATTTATACGTTTAGTGGTAGTGAGTATGGATCATTTGGAACTTGCTTTAGGTTATTTTTGCAAATTGGATGCTTTAACACATGTCAAAAATGAACGTAGTGTGAAGATTTTAATCTTAATGGCCTCTCCCCATAGTAATGAAATGGTCTATTATTTTCAGATTTTGGGGTGTGTTTGTTTGCTTTTTGAGAATTAGCAACTTTCATAGGTGGGCAACAAATTAATTCACCTGGTCTAATTAGATGTGAAACTGTTGTTGAATGTAATTTCAGATGGGGCTTGTGACTTGTTTAAAACATCGTCTGCTTATTGGAGCATCTTATTTTAGATGAATTCATGTACATACTACATCCTTTTGTATTCTTATTAATGAATAAGAATTTCCAATGAATAGACTGCAAAGCAATAGATAGTGTTGACAGAATTCAGTCCTTCTGAGTTAGTAGGTGAAGTCCTAGCCTCACTGAAGTTATTTTTTTTTTTTTAAATTACTTGGGAAGGGCAAAATTTTATCCTAGGTTTCTTTCCTTTTCTTTTTGTCTGTGAATAACACTTCTCCAATTTTGTCTTTCTGGTTTTTTAAATCTTTAATTGTATTTGTAGCAGAATTTTTTTCACTATGCAGTATGTCAATCAGTGTTTTAAATTTAACAGTGACATCATCAAAATAGAAGGTTGAAATTACTTGGGTAATCACACTTTCTTCTGGTTTTGCTAGGTTTCTTTCCTTTTCTTTTTGTCTGTGAATAACACTTCTCCAATTTTGTCTTTCTGGTTTTTTAAATCTTTAATTGTATTTGTAGCAGAATTTTTTTCACTATGCAGTATGTCAATCAGTGTTTTAAATTTAACAGTGACATCATCAAAATAGAAGGTTGAAATTACTTGGGTAATCACACTTTCTTCTGGTTTTGCTTTAAGAATAGACCTATTTCCCCTGCTCTTCCTCATTGTTTAATAGATAAAGTTGATATTCAGGTTCTGTAGGTAGACTTAAGTTCAGAGTTCAAGTCTTATATTGACCAATTTGGCTGCTTCTTTCAAACAGCTTTTTACATATAATGTGAATACATTAAAAAAAGCTATTGTAGATAGTGCATGTCCAAGCCATCTTCCAGAGCAATGAAAAATCTTGCACCTGATGTAGAATATATTAAAGAAGGGAGCAGATGTTTTTCCTAAATGTTATATAGCCAAAAATTAAGTTAAAGACAGAACAGGATTACCAAGACAAAACACTCATAATTTTGTGAAAGGTAGAATTACTGATAGTGTCTTTTCCTTTTGCCCTTTCCCCATTGCCATCTTTTGCTCCATGTTCTTAGTTGTTCCCATTCTCTGCCTCCACAGATTTAAGATTCAAGCTTTCATTTCTTTAACCTGCCTGCCACAGCAAGTCCCTCTTTCCCTGACCAGTTTCTCATCTGACTCCGTTCCAGTCTTCAGGCTGAAATAGCCATGCGCTGAATTTCAGTCTCTTGTCAATCATCTAGACAGGTTCTAGTCTGCCCATTGCTTTTCCCCATCTTGCGCTCTAGGTTTTGCTGGCCAGTCTAAACCCCGCAGATTGACTGAAGTCTGTAGGAGACAATACTGAGAATCAGTATCAGTTCTTCACTGGAATTACTTGGTGCCCCCAAAATGTATCAGCAGGTTCAGGGGAAAATCCTGCTCATTCTCAGTAGCATTGGGCTGGATCATGGCCGGCTGCCATCACATTTTTGAAGAAATCTGTCATCAAATTAAAACTTGATTTACAGAGTCTTAGGAAAATGGTGGCTTCTTTAACTCTCCAAAATAGTATGTAAGTGCTCGAGAACCATCCACCTTAGCAAATGTTGTTGTCTCCGCTACTGCAGCCATTCTTTCACTGAAAATGAGGAAGGTGAGACAAATAAGTTATATAGTTAGGAATGCAGCTCTCAGTCTTTATTGCATTCAGTGACATCTGCTATTTCTGCATTTTTTATTATTACATTCATCCGAGACAGTGCAACGTTTTTCCTGTTGTGTTGTTTTTTCACTTGTTGATTGATTTGATTTTTTTTTCCCCCCAGCAAAAGACATTTATTTGCTTTGGTTTTTGTTCAGATTGGTTTTAAATTGGTTGGGTTTACAGCTAATCAAATTGTAATCGAGTCCTTGGTGCTGTCATATATTAGTATCTGAAAGACACAGTGACATTTGACACGACCCTACATATCATGTTATATGTTTCACTGCATGGGGGAGAGGGTGCAAGCTTATTTCTGCATATTATGTGACCAATAATCCCTGTCTGCAGCATACCATCATTTACCTCTCCCCACTTCTTCTTCCTATATTAAGGACTTTTCTTATTTTTCTTATTTTTGTCCTATTTTGATTACCTCTTATCTGCATAAACAGCGATCCATTCCCCCCCGTAAGAAACTTGCATGTACCTCCATTAAAAAAAACAACAAATCAAAACAACAACCAAAAAACCAACAAAAACCAACCCGCAACAAAAAAACCCAAGGAAGTTCTCTTTTCTACTGTCTTTAGTTTTAGGTGTTTATTACAGACATTCAGTTCTCACGCTGAAATATTTTTGCTGCTCATTCCTTGTGACAGTTAGTGGTTTTGACTGCAGCTTGTTCATGTTATATTTTTCTCGCAAAGTTCTCAGCAGTCTTAGAAAAAAAAAGATGGTTCTAGGATTGCCTTTTTCCTAGCATTATTGCTACTTTATTTTAATTGATAGCATGGGTACAACAGTGACTGTTGAAGCTGAGCTTTGTATTGCTCCTCCAGTTTGGTCTGCTGAGTTATAAAAGCTTTCATGACAGCGCTTCTGGTTTAAAGCTCTTACGGCAGAAATCCTGAGGAAGGCACTTGTGCAGGCTGGGAGCCAGCCACTTCTTTCATCTTCAGCAGAGATACTAAAGCCTAAAAAGATGCTCTTTTATTTTTACATACATTGACTCTTTTAGATTTTCCTAAAGCTTCCATTTGACTTTGTTAATGGAGTTAAAATACTTTTTCAATTCAGCCTTTATATTCACCATCAGTGAACCTGTTAATACATGGCAAATCATAGAATCATAGAATTATAGAATGGTTTGAGTTGGAAGGGACCTTGAAAGATCATGTAGTTCCAACCCCCCTGCCATGGGCAGGGACACCTTCCACTAGGCCAGGTTGCTCAAAGCCCCATCCA